TTGCCACACTGGTAGTCCAATACCACTTGCATCACCGTCTTGGCTCTCCAAGACTAGGCAAACCATCTGTGAGTGGTCATCTCAGATCCACTCTTTAGCATCCTTGGGATGCCCACCGACAAGGGGAATAGCCTTCCCCAATATCCCTCTGTCAGTCCCCACCAAGTCCCTTTCTGCCCCTGGCCGTGTTTGCCAACACTGCCACTGGATCGAGACCCACAGGCCCGACCACTAAGTCCCACGGTCCTCTGGGACTTCCTCACCACACGACTGTGTCCTTGGTCACTACCCCAGAGGACTGCTCCTCTTCCTTTCCACAGTCTGGGCCTTTGGGACAACATTTCGGAACACCGTGGCCTTACGCGAGCCACCTGGGTACTCTCCTCGCCTTCTGCCCTTGGGTGCTCTAGCCATGGGCTTAGAGCGGGTTCCGTTGAGCCACACCAGGTATCCAAGTAGGTAGTGCCACCCACACTTGGACTGGGAGCATCGGCCAGTCGATCTCCCGGGGGAACTAGAGCCGGCTCTTGAACACTTCACCAAGCTACCCCGCTTGTCGGTCTGTGTTCACTCTAGTCTTGGACTTCCCAGTGGGCAGCTCATCACCCAACACTGGGTCCGGCCTTCCTGGGCCAAACTGGCCTTTCCTGGCCAAACTGGCTCCACTGCAGTCCTCCCCCTACTATACTTTTGGAGCTCACCAAACCCCCCAGGGTCTGGGAGACGAACGCTTTGGGCTTTCACCCTCTCAGACTCGAACTCGGACTCGGACTCGGACTCGGGCTCGGGCTTGGTCTCGGCCTCGGCCTCGGTCTCGTTCTCGGTCCCGATCTCGGTCTCGGTCTCGGTCTCGGTCTTGACTTCGGACTCCATCTCGGACTCCATCTCGGGTCCATCTCGGACTCCACTTCGGACTCCAACTCGGGTCCATCTCGGACTCCACTTCGGACTCCAACTCGGGTCCATCTCGGACTCCACTTCGGACTCCAACTCGAGTCCATCTCGGACTCCACTTCGGACTCCAACTCGAGTCCATCTCAGACACTTCCACGTGTCATGTGTTGGTCCTTTTGGGTCCCTCTTTGGAGCCTCACTTTTTGCTCGTTTCGTGCTCGTTCCTCGAGCACTTCGTTGGGAGTTCCACTCCCGCTCTTGACTTTTCAAGTCGGAGCTTTTGGTCCAAACGTGTTACACTCGTTTGGCTCTCGCTTCAGCCACTACCACGTGGCACCCTTTCCGGCTCCACTTTGGGGCCTAGGGATTTTGTGTCTCACAACCCCTAGATGCCTAACACTTGGCACATCATGAAACTCAACCAAAATTTGTTTAATGAATTTGTCAACATGAGGAACCATTATACATCCCTTCTTCATTAGGATTTCATTTTGTATCTCGAATGACACAAACTTATCACTTTTCAAATTTGTAGAGGTGTCATTTAACAAAACCTTTGTGTGAATATCAATGATAAAGGAGTCAAAGTTAGCAAACTCTTTAAGTTCATCCAAGAGATTGCTAAATAATTTCATGAATGAGATAAAATTTACCATCCTAGATAATGCATCAACCACCTTATTATCACCTCCATACTTGTATTAAATTTTAACAAACATTTTTTGCAAGAATTTTTACTAATGAGCAAAGCAACCTTGAAGATCTTTTTAACAACTAAAATATTAGAGAGATTGATGGTTTGAATCCATATAGAAGTCTGATCCATACAATTAATGTCTCCATTCTTTCATAGCAGCAATTATAATACACAACTCCTTGTCTCAAGTAGGTCAATTCCATTGTGTAGCATTAAACTTATGGCTCATATATGCATGAGGATGCCCAACTTGAAGCAAGATGGCCCCAATAACTATCACTCACATTTGTCTCAACCACAAGAGGTTTTTCTAGATAAAAAATCTTCAACACAAAAGTAAAGATATAACACTACTTCAAACGCTAAAACACCACTTGATACTTCTCATCCCAACCATGAATAGTAATATATTTCGATATATTCTAGAAAAGATCGGTCAAGGGAGCATTATCTTTGAAAAGTTCTTTATAAGGCATTGAAAAACTCTAACCATACCAAAGAAACTACAAAGATTATATCAATCACAACTTGGATCTTTGCGAAATCAACTCTCACTCTATGCATTAAAATCAAATGCCTAAAATATCCAATCTCCTCTAAGAAAACTCACACTTTGATAACTTTGAGTAAAGTTTATATGAAACCTTAAAGTGTGTATTACCAAGGGGGGAGGGGTTATATGGGGTTCCAAAAGTATAGTAAATTGAGTCTGAGAAAAAACTTGAGATCAAGTCTAAGATCGAGTTCAAGATCAAGTTCAAGACCAAGTCCAAATATTAATATAGGTCATGGGATGAAAGCCTAAAGCATGTGTTACATAATGGGGGGGGTGTAGGGGGGCTGTAGGGGTTCCAAAAGTATGGTAGGGATAGTGAGGTCTAGGAATCAGTCTTGAAGGAACTTTTCAATAGTGCTTCCAAACTGACTTGAAGTTGAGACTAGGGCTTAGAAGCTTTAGACGGGAGTGAGCATATACTTAGATGGTGTTAGAGAGGCCACCTAAGGAAGTGCTCAAGAGTAGTTCCCACTCTCAAAAAGGAAACCAATTGCGATGCTCCCAATTCATGTGGAGTAGTGCCCCACTTGAGTACCTTATGGCTCATTAATCCTCACCCTTTCTTAGAGGTTTGGGCCTTCCCTTCGAGATGGAATTGGGGGAGTAGGGGTACCATATTAGGCCATTAGGCCATGATGTTTTCACTCAGTGTTCTGAAATAAATATTGCACCCAAGGTTTGGGATTTAGAAGGTTTTATGATCAAATCTTGTTATAGCAAAGGATGTTAAGAATTTGGAGGCTTGGTGTGTTTGGCTACTTATTTTTGTGAGGAGTGTAGCCGAATCTTAAGTTTAGTCTAACCCAGGGAGGGGGATTGGGAGAGAATTTAGGAATTTGTGGATGGATGGTTAACACTCTATTACTCGTGTAGTGAGTTGTTAAAACTAAGTAGAAACTAGTACAATAAACGGAAACCTTGGCGAGGGAATTTAATTAAGGCCAAGGCCGTGGTGGTTGAATAAACGAAGTAAGTTAGCAAATTGGGAAGGAAAAATTTATAATTTACAATAAGCCCCATGCCCACAAAGTACTTCAAATCAAACATGATCATATTAAAAAAAAATGAGTACACCATAAAAAAGTTAATTATCTTATACATGCATATCATCAACTCCAAAACATTATTACTATTAACTGTCCTAATAATCTCTTTTACAATGCCACCAAATTTGATATGCAAAACATTATACTCCCAATTGATCCTTGGTTTTTTGTCATAAAACTATTCCTTCCTAATAATAACATATGTGCGACTAAGATCCATAACCTGAAATGAAAGATGGTCAAGAATCCCCTAAATTGTTAAAGGAATATTCAGAGGCTATTCACTATAAACATGAATGCTACATCCATATTACTATAACCACCTTATATATTACCAAGCTTTTTTCCACAGGCAAACCAAGTTTCTTCACCACTTTGAAACTCAAAAAGTTGTATGTAATATTTAGATTGAAAAAAATATTAATTGCACTACCCTGAATGTCCCTTTTGGCTTTCACAAATTAATTGTATATAAAATTATCAAGCTCTATAGAGTTGATATGAACTTGAAATTTAAATTTCTGAACTTTCACTACAAGGTGTGGAAGAGCCACTATAGCAAATGCCTAAACCATATCTATAATGGATTCCACCACATTTAACTTAACATTCTTTAATCCTTTCATAAAAGGATAATCCTTGCTTTGATATCTAGCCTTATAACAATAAAAACAATTGCCTATTGCCCTTCACCTTGTTTTTCTTTTGTTGATCCAAAATAAACTTTTTAACCTCATTGCTATCTTTATTCTTCAAACTATGACATAACAATAGTTGTTTTTCTCCTGAATATGAAGTATTGGCTAGTTGGTCATCACATTGACTACCTAGTAGACCATTCTGTTAACTAGAGTTGATTGATAGTTTTCATAGAAAAATCTAAACCTTAATGATAACATTAATTAATATTGCTAGAAAATCCTTCTTAACCTTCTACTACATATCCATTAAACTTAAACCTTTGATGAAACATTGCACTTTTAGCAACTCATTATAGGTGTCTAACACAAAGATCATGGAACTTACAAACATATGTATCCAAAGACAAAGTCCCTTACTTAATCTCTAACAGCTGGTTCACAAAATCAATCTTTTAAATTTTTTGTCAAACAAAGCATAGAAAACTTTTGTCAAATCACTCTAAAAAGTTGACTTTGGATTAGCTTTAATGTAATTCTTCCATCACAAAAAAGTATAGCTTATAAATTTCATCACAAAAAAAGCAATTTTCATTTTATCTTTAGAAGGGCTGTGAAACCAATAACTTTCACCAACCAAGAAACAACCTCCTAATTATCACAAATATCTAGTGATGACTTTCATTCCATGATACCACAATCCTCAACATGCTAAACATACCAATGATAATCACATATATGAAATTGATTCAACCCTGAAAGGTTTATGTAAAATAAATAATCTTTAATGGGATTGATAGAATCCTTCACCTCTTTAATGTTACTCTGAACTTTAATGACCTTGTTGCACAATGACATCAATAAAAAAATTCTTTTTCCTTATCATTGCTATCATTTCTAAGGTACACCTCATCAGAATTTATATCTCACTCCTTTTGCCATCCCCAAAAGAACACACTACTTCAATACCAATGAAAAAAACAAGGTTAAACCAACCTCTTAACCTTATAAGCCATAAAATGTTCTTAGAATATTCTTGTGGTTTGTGTCACTATTGGTGGCACTAACATTCAATCTAAGGCCATATGACATGTTGCTTGAAGCAAATGTTACCACGTTCTAACTGATAGCATATTTTTGCTATCTAATGTAAAATGTATAGATAGATATCCTCAACAAGGGCTTTAATGACAATCAATAAGAAGTGATATGAATATTCTTAATTATGATTTTAGGGCATGTTGAGGGTTTTAGTTAGACAAGTCGACAGCGGTGTTCCAGCGTACTCTTCGCTGGTGTAAATTGCAACCTCGGATGGCGAGATGATTCTAATGCCACGGACAGAGGTCACGAATTCCCTGAAGGAAAGTGCTTGGGTGAGAATTCTGGAAACTGATTATAGAACTTACTCCCAGCGATCGTCCCCTACAAGAAGGATGTCACCGTCATTGTCCATGTAAACTAGCTGCCAGTGTGAGCTTTGATCCAGCTGACCCTCGAGACCAAACATCCTGGCTAGTTCGCTTCGCAGCTCTGCGTAGCTGTTAAACCTTGCGATGTTTAGTGACCTTCCAATGGAACCCAGCTTCAATACCTAGGATCATGAATCGATCCATAAGCAACTCCCAAGCCCGTCATAGCCACGAAATTTGAAAGATATTTGCACTTACCTTCGTGTAGGATCGAGGCTTCATCTGTTTGAAGCTGGAAGAAACTCTTTGAGCGTTTTGATCGTGGTGATCTCCTCGAGCTCCATGAGCTGCACGTCCCTGTGAGCTATACAAGCTTTGCCTTGAAGAGGTAGCACCGCCATCGCCCAGAGCTGGCATCGATGATGACGTAGTTTCGTTCTCATGGAACTGCGTCTCAAGGAATGGAAATCCAAACGGTTGAGCCTGGGAAGCCGCTGGATGATTCACTGGAGGTTGCAAACTCTTGCCACCGAGCTGGAAGTAGTAGTGCTGGTGGTGATCGTAGCGAGTTTGAGGCCTAATGCTTTGGAGCTGCCAAGGCTGGAGTAGCCCGGACTCTACTGCATGCTGAGCCTTGATTTGTTGGAGCAGTCTAGCATCGAAATTCTGCAAGGAATCCACCGCTTCGGGAAGACTACTACTCACCGCCACCGCGGATCCATAATCGCTGGAGGTGGATGAATTCACTAGAGCTGCTGCGTAGCTGCTGGTCCAGTGATTCCCGGTATAGTTGTGGTCCTCCTTGTTAGAATCCATCTATCCATGTTCTACACGGCGAAAAATCGTCCTCGACGAAGATCCTAGCAGCGAAACGATGACGATTCCACACAAATCAACATCTAGGAGCTGGAATCCACTCACATTCTCCCTGGATAACCTACCATTGCTCGATCTTGATCTTGCGAGCGGCGATGCTAGCGCTGGCCGCGGCGCCTCGACGCATGGAATGCCATGGACATACCGGCGCGATCGATCGCGCGCCGCGTCGTCGATCAATTCTTTCTTTCTCGAAAACCTAGCGCCTGGAGGGGGAGAGAAAGAAAGAGCGAGAGCTTCGTCTAGGACGGAAAATGTCCCATCTGACCGAGAGAGAAGAGGCGGATATTCGCTCGCCGCCGTACAAGCCTCCTAGGTGATGGTGCCACAAACCATATAAATTTACACGCACTGCTTGACAAATGTGGAGCACTTGTCGGTGCCGATAGATTTGGCGGCAACTTGCCCTAAAAGCCCCTTTCAAAAAGATGCGCTGCCAAAACCCCGAATATCCGCAAATATTTTAGGGTTTATTGAAATGATTCTCGAGAACACGTGCATCTTGCTCCACGGCGATGGCGCCCTGGCGCTGGAGCGCTCCAGGATCAGCAGCGGCGACATGGAATCCGGCTCGGTGCTGCTGCGGATGATCGCGGCCGAGGTATGTGGCACTGACGTTCATCTCAAGCATCGCCGCCTTGATACCGTGCCCTATCCGATCATCCCCGGGCATGTTGCTGTGGGGCGAGTCGTGGCCATGGTTGGCTCGGTCAGGGACGTGGATGGAATCCAGGTAACCACTGATTTTTCACCTGCATTCTTGTTATTTGCGATGATTTTTGCTAATCTTTTGGGCTATCAGATAGAAGAGGGAGCAGTGGTCACTTACCTGGATGTGATCGACACTTGCAATTCTTGCGTTTCATGCCTGGTACATTTTTTCTTTTCCTTTTGTTTGTATCCCCATTCGTATTTTTTTGGTGCTCGCTGTTCTATTGCTCTTCCAGGTGGACAAAGAATCCACTCGCTGTCCGAAAAGACGTGTCCTGGGAATCACTTGCCGTGCGGATCCTCGCGACGTAAAAGGCCTGTTAGGTGGCTGGTCTTCTCACATTTATCTTCCTCCCAATACCAAAATCATACGTTTGCCAGAAGTTCTTCCTCCTCGGGTCTTCATGGCTGGAGGATGCGGGTACGCTCTTGTCCTTTTCGCTGTAACTTTTGACTCGTGGATGTGCTGCTGGATAGGCTGCCGACTGCTTTGCATGCGATCGAGCGAGCTGGTATCAAGCTCATGGACCGTGTTCTAGTCCAAGGATCCGGCCCCGTTGGCTTGCTGGCAGCTCTCCTGGCACGTCTGAGTGGAGCATTCCAGGTACTTTCAAGCTCCACCCTCCATTTCGAGCCCATCATAAAAATCCCGATGGCATCACAGGTGATCGTGACGGGGGCTCCGGAACATCGCTTGGAAGTAGTGAAGAGATTCGGGATTGACTCTACAGTAAACATCGAGGTGAGAAAAGTAACCACAGAAACAACATCTGTGATTAATGATTTTCCTGTCTCCTCCAGAAAGCGGCACCAAGTGAGAGAGTGGCTATAGTGCGGGATTTGACAAACGGCCGAATGGCGGACGTGGTGATTGAAGTGACTGGACGGCCCGAGGCCATTCCCGAGGGGATGAGCTTCTGCCGAGACGGTGGGACTTACGTTGTGGTGGGGCAGTACACGAACAACGGAGACGCTGTCGTCAATCCCCATCACCTCATCAACCGGAAGCATCTCACGGTGAAAGGGTGCTGGGGGTCGGACTTTAGCCACTTTTACAAGGGAGTCCAGCTCATGGCCAAGCACGTCGATCTGCCTTGGGACTCGGTCATCTCCCAGACGGTGAGGCTTGGGGATGTGGGGAAGGCGCTCCAACAGGTGGAGAAGCTGGGCATTTTCAAGGCGCTGGTTGAGGAGCCCGAGGCCGAGAAGGCGTCGTGATCGCGCTATTGATGACAGAGGCCTCCTCGCTCGGGGACACGATCTGACAGGAGGAACCCATCGACTTGGAAGTCACGGTAAAGAAAAGCTTGACTTTGATGGGAGAATCGCTCTGGTCGTGTTCACAGCTCTCGTGGTGGCACTGTTCATGGATTGGCGAGATCTTCCTTGGAGTGGAACTCTTAAATTTTATTTTCAAGTGCCACGGCACTATAGTATATGCTAATACCACGTCACCCGCTAAAATGCCACGCCACCATCTACTTAATGCCCCACGTCATCAGTTAAATTTATAAGCGTATACTTTATCCACTGGTATATGCTAATGAAGGTTCTTTTTTGAATTTTAGGTCTGGGAAGGGTGGTGCGAGAGAGAAGGGAAGAGGGTTTTAGGTTTTGATGATCGAGGGAATGGATAGCGCCTGGCTGTGCGGGCGCGATGTCGGTGATGGGGACGAGTTTAGGGTGCGATAATCCGCAGCGCGCGCTGAGGTAAGATCGTTGCGAAACCCTGGGGCGATGTCTTGATCTGGTCTCCCTCTAGCAGCGCCACTGAGGGATTGTTGTCTAGGATGAGAGGGAATCCGCAATGCGGCGTAGGGAATGGCATGGAGCATTGTCCAGCATGTCAGGTGAGAGAGATTTGGAACCCTTGCTTCTTTCTCTGTATCATATGCTTATGCAAGTTTCCTTGTTGTGTTCTTGACAGGACGATGAAGAAATCCCTGTTAGGACGTATGTAGGATGACCAACAGTGCTTCACTCGGGCGCAATGGCTGTCCAACTCGAACGAGCATGGAGAACATCAAGCAGCCAAAGTATGGATATGCCCGTGCAAGAGGAGAGCTTCAGCGTGGTGGCTCACGGGCAAGATCACACGAAGCTCAAGCGTCTCCGTTGCCCAAGAGCCCACAGCACCACCATCACTCCAAGGTTTCAAAGGCGAAACGCATGCGTTTTCTCACGAAGTCGGACAAAGGCTGGAGTTGGCTGTCGGTGCAAATGCGTGACGTTGCCTCGGAGGTTAAGATGGGAATGGCCAGGAAGGGAGAGCTTCCACAGGAATTGGTGCAAGCACTCTGGGGCCGTCAAGGGCCGTGTTGCAAGGGACAGGAAGCACTGGCCGACCACATTGATCACAAGCTCGAGAAGAAGCTAAAGTCCAAGGGAAAAGGAAAGCCAGGACGTAAGCCACAGAAGCCTGACACCAGGGTCTATCCTGACGAGGATGATAAAGCACTTGAGGATGATGCTCCAAAGGTACGTTTCTTTTCTCTAGTTCTTTTATGTTATCTATGCAGCGGGCTGATCGACAGCATGTGATGCAGACACGCAAAAGTAGGCAGAAGAAAATTCCTGAAACCTTGATGGACGTGCTGCTGGCAAAATGGGTTTATTTTGACCATTCGCATGCGGATGTGTCGCAGGTTAGATCGTTGTTTTTTTTTCTGGCTTGCTTTACATATGGTTCAGTGCTTGCTTTATGTCACAGGTTGATAAGCACATCCACGCAAAGTATTGTGAGAATGCTTTTGGTCACTTCCTTTTCCCCGATGGCCGACAAGTTCATGGTTCTTACAGCGTTCCCTTGAGCTACTTGGTTCAAGAGCTACGGAAGCTGCTGACACACCTCAGAAGCAAGATTGTCAACACGCATTACAAGGTACGTAAACAACTCTTTGTTACTCGTGGTTCAATGCTTTTCATTTTTACAGGATCTGCCTATTTTCAGTCCGCCAGAGCAACAAATCCTACCCGAGTTTGAGCCTCCAGAAATGAAGCCTCTGCCACAGCTGTATCCCATAGACGGCCTTTTTTCCATTCCAACCGAAGAATCCGAGGGGATTGGTCCTAGCCTTGAGCTCCCGGTCTTTGAAGCCCCTGTTCCCAAAGAACTTCCTGCTCTTGATTTGCCACCCCCTCTCCGCGTCTCACCTTTGAAAATTCCGCCTCAGCCAATCTTTCTGGAAGATGAAAACAGCATCGACAGAACCTTATACAAGGAAGATCCTCTGCCAACTTACTATGCCCCTGAGAAACTTCCTTTGCCTCAATGGGTGGAACCCAAACTTCTCGACTTCCCGAGTGCTCCAATTCCTATGAAGGTTCCAGTTTTACCGATGCCAGTTATGGAGGCTCTTCCGCCATTTGTTGCTCCGATTCCTGAACCTCGGCCTTGTGAAAAAGCCTACTATGCTGTCGACGAGAGCTTTGGTCCCTGTTGTTGCGAGGGGAAGTGCATGCCAAATGTCGACATGTATGCTAGGAAAGGCAAGCCTTGTCAAGCCAAGCCGAGAGCCCTCCTTCCTTATCCAGAGTCACCTTATCCTCTACCTCTAGTGTTGAAACCCGAACCCGTTTTCCTACCACCTGTAGGCGAGCCACTTCCAGAATTCCATCCTCCCGCATTGAAAGTAAGGCCAGCTTACGTTCCACCACCTCCGCTCGTGTTGCCTCCATGGAAGCCTCCTCCAGCTCCGGATCCTATAGGATATCTTGCTGGACAGAGGCCTATATTCCTTATAGACGCCAGTGGAACCATGGCTAAAGGAGGTATGAAAATGGCTCATGACATCCTGACTGCGGTTTTTTCTCCCAGGGGCCAGGTGAGTATGTCACACATTGGCTTTTGATCAAGTTAGTTACTGAGTTTGCTGATGTTTTGCAGGTTGCCATAGCAGCAACGCATTTCGACATTATCATGTACTCGTTTGATGCCTGGAGTTACGCTTCCATGGAGAACTACAGGCTGTACAAACAAAACACCAGAAACACTGCGTCACCCCGGTTCTGGAGTCCTCAGGAGGTGAGAAATGGTATTTTTCTGTCATTCTGCTAAACGCAAGGGAACATTCAGGCAGGCAATGATAGAGAAAACGCCTGCCAGCCTTGAGGAGGCGCTGAACTGGGCATTGCGTTGGGGAGCAGGAGGCCCAACGAATCTGCTGAAGGCTCTCGATGTTTCTTTTAGTCGGAGCTTTTGTGATTGCATATATCTTCTCACTGATGGAAAGCCAGACAAGCCTGTTCTGGTATGGTTTCTCATTTGTTGCTTTAGAAGTTTATTTGACATTAACTATTGTCATTGTCTCAGGTGATGCAACAAATCAAGAAGCTTCTAAAGATGCAAGGCGCTGTCACCCCCCTGTACACAGTTGGATTGGGGACGACGAAGTATGGAGAACGTTTCCTGCAGAGGATCTCCGAGCTAACTGGAGGCGTTGTAAGACATGTCGACCGGAATTGGGCAACAAAACCGCCGCCAGTGTCAGGGGTGGCTCTGGAAGACATGCTGTGGGCTAAATCCATCATAGAAGGCGAGCAACGGAGGAACATCGTTCGTGGTATGGTTGAGACGATACACGACCTTGAGGAGAAAGTGAGGCTACGTTACGACAAGGAAAGAAACGCACCTCGGCTAGCAGCTTATCAGAAGAATCAGAAGAAAATGGAGGAGGACTACGAGGCGCTTATAAAGTCAATTGACGAAGAAAACGAAGCATTGCTAGCGGCTGCCAAGAGGAAGTACGAGGACGGCTGCAAAGATATCATTGCAAGGAACATGGTACTGCACGACTTTGCCAGGGAGAAGTGGTTGGAGGAGTGCCGGCGTGTCGAGCAGCTGAATCAACGCGCTGTAGAAGAAATCGAGAAATGGAAGCGCCAGGTGAAGCACATTGACGAAGAGAACGCAAGGCTGGTAGCCGAGGCCAAAAAGCAGTACGAGAAGGACGTGAAATGGGTGGAGGAAATGAACGCGCTCAGTCTGAAGCAAGCAATGGAAGAGTACGAGGTCGATTGTCTCAAGAAGAAAACAGCATTCGAGTTTAAAGTCAAGGAGACCGAGAGGCAGCAGAAGGAGATGGAAGAGACAGTCGCGACCAGGAACAGGATCAACCAGGAGAACCACGCAAAAATGGTGGCCGAGATCACTCAGACGAACAAAGAAACAACAGAAAAAGCTCACGCGGATCACGCAGCGAGGGTGGCGTACATCGAGTCGGAGAACGCGCGCATCAAAAAGGAGTCGGAGGACGCATTCCAGAGCACCTACGACAAAGTAAAGCTGGAAAACGCTCGACGAGTAGCGGCTCTCAAACAGAAGATCCAAGACCTCAAAGAGAACAAGGAGAAGACACTGTCGACTTACAAAGCAGAGCTAGCAGCAGCCATGGCGGAGCACGAGGCACAGTCCAAGAAGTTTGCCAAGCTCAACCAGGAGACCGAGGAGCGCGCAAGGGCGAACTGGAAGCTGGCGTGCGAGGCAGTGGCTGCCGAGAACATGGCGATTGCAAAGGCCGCAGTGGAGGAGTACGAGCGGCAATCCAAGTTCGTTCACGAGGAGAACATGAGGCGCGCCAGTCAGATAGCAGCGATGCTCAAGAAAAAGGCCGAGGTGGAAGCTCAAAACGAGGAGGTGACGAGGGTGAAGAAGATCCAGTGGAAGGCGGCCTGCGCACAGGCGGAGGTCGACTACGAGACGGATGTAACACGGGCGAAAGAAGAACACGAGAAGCTCTCGCTGGAGGTGAATGCCAAGAACTCGGAGGCTTTCCAGGAGGCTCTGCTGGAACACAAGGCAAAGGTGGCGGCGGTGAAGAGTTACAACGAGACTATCCGCCCGTTTGTGGAGGCGTCCATCCTCGTCAAGGCGGAGATAGCACGCGTGGAGAAGTTCATCCGCTACATCGGCAATGCGTGCCTGGATCCAAACCGCAAGTCCACGGACACGGCGTCGGATCTAAACGTGCTGGGGAAGTCCGAGCAGGGAATGGAGACCAAGATCTTGGTGGAGGCGCTGCAGGAGGCTTACAGTACCAAGCGCGAGGGTGGTGACTACGTCCAGAGGCCCAGTTTCTACTCGGGCAAGGACTTCTCCGGGATGATACCGATCCATCCACCTCGAGCACCACAGCACCACTGCCCGGACTTGGATGGCCACGTCCGGTTGAAGGAGCTGGAACTGGAGAGGTTGAGGCTCGAACTAGAGGAGATCAAAGCCGAAGAGGAAGCCAAGATATCCAAAGAGAAGGACAAGCCGCTCTTCAGATTCTAACACTTCGACCAACAGGAAAGAAGAAAAAGGTACCTGGCTCGAGGATTGTGAATACGACCGTGTACAGGGCCACCATCGTGTACAGAAGAGAGAAACAACGTTCCAGTTTTGCCACGGCACATAGAGATCATCTGTAAGTTTGAGAGAAAAAAGTGTTTTCGTTTTTGTAAGTTCTTAGCTAAGTTTCGGCTCTACTTATTTTTCGCCTCAAATGTGTAGAGCTTACCAACAAAAGAGAGAGAAAAAAAAACCGGAAAACTATGTACAAGGCTCGTGTTAATGAGCATACAAGGTTTCGTTCCTCCGTAGTGGCCGGTCGGGTATAGTTCCTGTGCACGAATCAAGCGTTAGTATAAAACTAGAGCGAAGAAAGCTATGGGATTTACCAGGCTTGAATTTGGAGGCCTCGTGTCTCGACAGCTCTGGAGGAACAGGACTGTTGCTCTGCACAAGCATCTGCGTGAAAAGGAAACCTCTCTAAATCAGCCACAAGCACACGAGACTATCAGAGCGTTACCTGCTTTAGATCGTAAAACACTTCGGTATCTCCCAAAGTTAAGAACGTCGTGGCCACGCCAGTCTTGCCCGCGCGACCAGTACGACCTGGAAAAAATGTTTAGCTCTCAGAAACCGCGGGGAAAAACAAAAAACTAAACTTACCGATCCTGTGCGTATACATCTCGATGTTATTCGGCATATCAAAGTTAATGACATGGGCTACGTCCTGCAAACTCGACGTGAGTTGTTTTGATTCCAAGAGAAGTAGAATAAGAAACCAACCGGGATATCGATTCCACGACCAGCGACGTCGGTGGCAACGAGGCAGTTGTAGCGTTTGCTACGAAATCCTTCTAGGCTGATCTGTTAAAACCACGGACTACGTAACAAAAAGAACCAAAAAGAAAGAGGAGCCTTTGGACCTCACGCTGTTCTTGAGTTTTCCCACCGTGCAAGGTCGTCACTCGGTAGCCCAGCTTATCGAGTTGCCTTGCTAGACCGTCGGCAGCTTTCTTGGTGTTGACAAACACGATGGCCGTCTTATCCGCAAGATCATTCAACATGCGCTGTAATCTGCAATGAAAAAAAGAGGTGAGCTCCAATAAAAGGTATATGTACAGACCTGTCGAGCTTCTCAGAATCCTTGACCATGAGAACATTCTGCGTGATGAGATCCGTTGTTTTTCCAGCAGTTCCAATTGTAACTACGACCGGATTACGTAAGTACTTTCGTGCAAGTCTTTCCACGGCAGGCGGCATCGTTGCACTAAACATGTAAGTAGTTCTGTAAATCTTTTTCTCATCCAGTTCCTACAAGAGATCAAAACAACTTAGTACGACGTGTATGAGACGCTCATACTTTCATACCGCGTCCTCGTTCTCGGGTTTGAGATTACTAGACGGCATAGCATCAAGAACACCGACCACCTGCATTTCTTGAATTAATTCTCAATTCACATAAGAATGAGAACATGTACCTGCGGCTCAAACCCCATATCGATCATGCGGTCCGCTTCATCTAGTACCACGTAGTTGCACTGATTGAGAACCGCATATCTACACACACACACACACACACACACACACAATCGTTTCAAAGTTACAGGAAGGAGTGTCGTTCTACCTGCGTTCGAGGCAATCCAAAAGCCTTCCAGGCGTAGCAATCACGATCTCGCAACCCTGAAAGAAAAGAAAATCTTGGTAAAATGCAGCACTATATAAAAATGAGAAACCTGGCGAAGTTTAAAACCTTGCTCCTCTATTGATTGTCCTCCAACAATTGACACCACATGTATATCCTGATAAACAGTGCAACTGGAAAAATATATAAAAAGACAGCAAAATCGTACCAAATAATGTGCAAATTTCACAGTTTCTTCTTCAATTTGCTGCGCAAGCTCCCTCGTAGGAGCCATGACAACCGCATAAGGTCCTAAGAAACACTGTTAAGGATACAGAAATTATACAGAGCATAGTACCTTCGGCTTCGTTCTCTTCAGTCATGGGAGGAAGCCTTGATATGTACGTGAGCATTGGTAGCACAAACGCAGCCGTTTTGCCGGATCCTACATGCAACAGAACAAAATAAGCTGTAGAAACGAGAAAAACAGCTCTCTGATCCGCTTTCGTACCCGTTTCCGCAATACCAATGACATCTCTTTGTTGAAGACCGAGTGGAATTGCAGCCATTTGGATGGGAGACGGATTCTTGTACCCAGCCTTGTTAACAGCCTTCAATAGCTCAGTACTAAGGCCACCTTCTTCCCAGTTCCGCATAGGCCGCGGGATGCGGGATCCCTACAACGACATTCCTGTGAGAAGAATGAACAGTTTACGCAATAGGCGCATGGATCACAGTTTTTCACCTTGTATGAGATGTTGAAATCCTCTCGGAAAATACGCCAATCTCTTTCAGTCATATCCTCGAGCTGGTCAAGCCAAGGACACAAGCTCATCTCAGTAAAGTAAAAGATTCTGTTAAGTTTCATCACCTTCTTCTCTGACCAATGCCGATCTACACGCATATCAAATGCATCGTATGCATTCGCAGCCTCTTCCTTGAGTTTCTGAGCCTTTGCTTCCTCCGGCTTTTCTTCAAGTCCCTTGGTTGCCTATCATAATTTTTCATATTAGATTCGCTTGAAACAGTATGAAAACGCGTACCCGTATTTCAGCTCGCAGGTCCTTCTCATTCTTTGCAGCAAGCTACACAAGAAAGATCAGTCACAAAAATGTTTGACATATATCCGACCTTCTTTTGCTCCCTTCGATCCATGCCGGCACGAAATCCTCGGCCAAAAAGCAACTGTGCTTCGTGCGGATTTTGATATCTGAAAGAGGAAAAGAAGTATCAGACCTCAAACTAGAACGGCAACTTTCTGTACGTACATCGGGTTCATGTCTCTTGAAGTATCTTCTGTATTTTCCCAATCGAATGAGAATCTGAACTTTTCGCTTGGCTTCACAACACGTTTCTTTAGCTTTTTTGTTCCAAGATACTGATCAAAAACGAGTTAGAAGGGATGGGAAATAAAACTACTAGAAATATTACCTGCTCTTTGATTGCATCCATCTCTTTCTCTCGTTCTCTGTTAGCCTGTTTCTCGACGCGTTCACGCTCCCTAACTTTTGCTTCCTCTTCCCGTTGCTCTCGGCGCTCGCGGTCTCTTTCACGTTCAAGATCTCGCTGGCGAATATCTGAAGAAAAAAATACGTAAGAACGGAATCGCCTTTCGAAAAAAAACAAAGTTACCTTCTTGAGATTTCTGTGTTGTATACAATTTCCGCTGCTCTTCGACCCTGCAAAATATAACAGAGAGTCATATCAAGCTAAACCGCAACTCTGGCTACCTCCGCTTATGTTCGGAGGCTTCTTCTTCACGTTTTTTAAGAGCAAGTTCCTGCCTTTGCTCTTTAGTGAGAAATAGCGGCTGCCAAACATGTAAAGTTACATTAACACTACCCACGAAAAATGCAAAACCCATGCAGAGCAAAGGGAAAAAGCACAGTCGAACGAGCATTCACCTTAGACTGTTGGAGAGCATCCTCCTTGCGCTTCTTCAACATATCCTCCAAGGAAATCGGCTGGAACGAACAAACGCAAGTCTTCTAAGCACGCAAAGCAAGCGGAAAAGCGAGAAGCAACTTTACCTCTGCCCGCTTGGATTCTTCCTGAGTAGTCGTGGCAGTCGTGCCAGCAGAAGCCTGATCGTTTTCATCGTCTCCACTCTCCCCAAGTTCACCACGAGTTTCCTGGGCTTCACTGGCTAGCTCATCCGACTTCTCGCTGTTTAGCACCTCCTTTCTATCCTTTCTATCTCGATCCACACTCCTACTCCTGCTCCTGGCATTCCCAGCCTTGAGACGATCACGGCTTTGGCTCCTCCTACTTCTCCTCTCTCTACTCAAGCTCCGGCTGCGGTGCCGACCCCGGTGCTGCTGCTGCCTCTCATTCCTCCTGGATTTGGCAGCGGCATCACAGCTAGGGCTCTGGCGCTTCTCCACGCCGCGCTTCCTCTCCGCGCTCTCGCTCCTGCTGCGCTTCCTCTCGCGATCCCTATCCCTCTCCCGCGATCCGTCGTACCTGGTGCTGTGGCCGCGATGATGCTCGTCTCTGCCGCCCGGGGGGCTCCTGCTGCGAATGCGCTTCCTGGAGGATGCGCTAGGGCTGCCGCGATCCGCCATGGCCTCCCTCCCCCGCTTGCCAGCTTCGGGCGCCATGGCCACAAACCCTAAACAGGGGCCCTAGGGCTGAGTCAGCTTAATTAATCAAGAAAAAGCCACACACTTTATTACTTTAAACCCTTCCATCTTAGGTCAAAGAGGAGAGAGAGAGAGGGGAAGAGGAATGGCGCTTTTGGGTATGAGCACCGAGGAGTACACTTGGCTTTTCCAGCAATTCCAGCTACCCATGGAAGAGCGCAACACCAAAGCCATCCTCACCAAGCATCTGGAGGAGGTATGGCGCTGGATCGAGCAAAGAATCGTGCAAATGGATCACTGCTCTTCTCCATTCTTGTCATCTTGAAGGTGCTCAGGCTGCATGGAGTTCGCAGCAAGCTCATCTTCCGGAGCAAGGTGGGAGTCGTTTTTCTCCTCCTCGATCGCGATCGGCTTAGGAGCTTTTGTTCTTTGCATGATTCCAGGGCCAGATGCTCGAAGCCCTGGACAACACGAGGATGATGAGCATGATGCGCTCCACAGTGGGTTCTGTCGAGATCGCGGGAGCTCCCATCAATGCCAAAGCCGATCTCAAGGCGCTCAAGTGGAGCGACGGGAAGATCCTTGAAGTGGCGAAGCTCGAGCCTCCTCAGCGAGCTCCAATCGATCCCATGGAACAAAACCCTCCAGAGGTACTTCGCCTAGAGCTTGTTTGCTTCTCTATAGTTCCGATCTTTTCCAGGCTTGAAAGAAAGAGAGAAGCGCGTGCCGGGGCATCACAAGAAGAAAAAGGAAGCTCTCTTCTTCAATCGCTTCCATCTCCCAGCATCTTTTCTCGAAAATGTTCTTGAGCGAGCTCCAAAACCGTGATGCCGCTGTTCTATGAGAAAAGCCACGATATGCTGATATAGAGCTTCTTCATATCCATGCCTTTCTGGGACGAGATCTTGACAAACACAGTGCTCAAAGGTGATGATCACTGCATATGCCCAGATCGGGGATTTGCAAACGTTGCATTCAAAAATGCCAGAGGAAAATAACGCAACCTGGTTCACTAAGGTGGCCGCGTACTTCTCACGAAGGATTGTTTGTGGCCCGAGCTTGAGAGACGTTTGATTTGATGTCACAATGGAATGTTGGAATTCGATGGTTTGTGGATTTGCCCAAGCTGGGTGCTTGGAGGAGGCCAAAGTGATGCTTGAGAAGCAACCACAACACAGCCAAGTTTCGTATGCTCCTCTAATGCTTCTTTACAGCGAGAAGCAAACGATCGATTATCTTATGTCAGTGTTCCAGCGGCTTGTGGAGAGGAATGTTGTGGTAATGGACATTGCTCATATCAGCAAATGCCCGTGGAGGGGATTTTGGACGAACGCTCTCTGTAATTACTTGCTCTCAAGTAATTACATGCTTCTTGCCAGTACGCGACCGTTTGAGGCACTGCTGGATTATGGAGAACGCGATGGAAGGAAGCATCATCTTGAAGTGGAGCGAGCAAGAAATTCATGGATGGAGATGGATTGGATGCGCAGCCGCAACGGAAGGAGAAAGTTTTTGCGTGCTGGAGAGTGGTATCATGCTGTGGCACACACATCGCTGATGTGCATTTGCGCAGCTGTGATGAAGGCAAGAAGCAACGTGGCTGCTCGAGAACTGTATTCTAATGCGGAGAAGATCCGAGTTTTCGAAGGCCAAAGTCTCCGCACCTGAGATTTCTGCGAGAATCAGTGGGACAAGCACCACGGAAGAAATTGTATTTCTTCTCGTCAGTGGACCACCAGTTCTAACGAGACTGGACTAAGTGCGACCCCACCGTAGCGTCTTCGTCTTGTTCATTCTCCAGTGCTCTTAGAGGTCACTATATAACGTAACCCGGATCATCCAAAATCCGAACTTGGAAAGCGGAATGGCCATCTCTGGTCTTTTTTTCATAGCTCTAAGCATCGTCTCGTGGAACAAGGCAGCAGGCATCGAGGACAAGCGTCAGGTACTTCACGGCCATCTTTCTACATATATTTACTACTTGGTTCTGTTTTCGCAGATTTATATCGTGTACCTCGGTGGAAAAGGGAGTCGCCACAGTTTGCAGCTGGTCCACAGACACGGCAAGATTCTCGATTCTGTCAAAAGCAGGCAAGAAGTTATCGTGCTCCAAAGTATAGCCCGGACTGACTTTAAAACTTACACGACAGTGAAGTCGAGTCCCCTGAGATCGTGTACAGCTACAAGCATGGATTTGATGGATTTGCTGCCAGGATGACCCCGAAGCAGGCAAAAGCTATTGCAGGAATGCGGGACGTGGTCAGTGTGTTCCCGAGCAAAACTCTGCAGCTGCATACAACGCGGTCCTGGGACTTCCTGGAAACGTTTTCGACGGGTCTCTCATACTCGAGACGCAGACTTGGAGCGGGAGCCGATGTCATCGTTGGCGTGATGGACACGGGTACATAGATTCAAGAGTTGACAAAAGTGATATATATCAATCAAGTTGCTCTCTCTTTCCTGAAGGTATATGGCCAGAGTCTGCAAGTTTCAGCAATGATGGAATGTCATCTCCTCCCAGCCGATGGAAAGGATTCTGCAACAACGCCGGTGTGAATCCCGTGAAATGCAACAAGTAAGTTTCACGATAGTACCGTTCTAAAGACGAAAGAAAACGAATTATTTATGGAGCAGCAAGATCATCGGAGCTCGTTTCTACAACGCGGAGAGCGCAAGAGATGAAATAGGCCACGGATCACACGCTGCATCCACCACGGCTGGCAGCGTCGTCTCCAACGCGAGCATGAAGGGTGTTGGCAGTGGAACAGCCAGGGGTGGACTTCCATCGGCCAGGCTCGCAGTGTACAAAGTGTGTGGGATCGATGGCTGTCCCATTGCAGACGTCCTCAAGGCCTTTGATGACGCTATGGACGACGGGGTGGATATACTATCGCTTTCGCTTGGTACCTTGCCGCGGAGCTACGACGAGGATGGCATCGCGATTGGAGCCTTCCATGCCATCCAGCACAACATCACTGTGGTTTGCTCCGCTGGGAATTCGGGTCCCGACGAATCGTCCGTCTACAACTCGGCCCCTTGGATTTTCACGGTCGGAGCAAGCACCATTGACAGGTCCATTGCGTCCGACGTCTATCTTGGAGATGGAAAGACTCTACGAGTGAGCAAAACCTTGGCTTTTCTTTCTCATCACCTTTCTACTACTTCACTGCGCAGGGAACGGCCTTGAGCTTTCAAGCTCAGAAGGAATCACCTTACAGCCTCGTCCTTGGCTCTTCCATTCCTGCTAATGAATCTATCCATGCCTCAGCAGCCAGGTGAAAGTGGTCTAAACTCTCTCTTTTTTGTTCTTTCAAAAGTGGCTCATAGCTTACTTTGCAGCACCTGTGATCCAGACAGTCTAAATCCCAAGCAAGTAGAGAACAAGATCGTCGTCTGCGAGTTCGATCCCGACTATGTTTCCACGAAAGCAATCGTGACATGGTTGCAGAAGAACAATGCCGCTGGTGCCATTCTCATAAACGACTTCCACGCAGATCTCGCTAGCTACTTCCCCTTGCCTACGACCATCGTGAAAACAGCCGTGGGAGTCGAGCTGTTATCCTACATGAACAGCACCACCTCACCAGTCGCTACACTGACACCGACAGTGGCAGAGACTTCCAGTCCAGCTCCAGTAGTTGCCGGATTCTCTTCAAGAGGTCCAAACTCCATCAGCGAAGATATAATCAAGGTACCACCTAGCCATTCATTATCAAGATCATTGGTCTTTGTTGCAGCCTGATATTACTGCTCCAGGAGTAAACATCCTTGCGGCCTGGCCGGATATCGTTCCAGCGTACTATGAGAACTACGACACGAACAAGCCCGTTTTTGTCAAGTATAACTTCGCCTCCGGAACCTCCATGGCGTGTCCTCACGTCGCGGGAGCCTTGGCCATGCTAAAGTCTGCGTATCCTTCTTGGAGTCCCGCGGCTCTAAGATCGGCGATCATGACCACAGGTAACTCTCTACCACCTTTCTCTTCCCCAGCCTCATACAAGCCTTTGAATCTCCAGCGACAACTCAAAACGACGGCATACTCGACTATGATGGAAGCCTGAGCAATCCATTTGCTTACGGCTCCGGCCAGATCGATCCCTTGAGGTCTCTAAGTCCAGGACTGGTCTACGACGCAACACCCTCCGACTACGTCGCCTATCTCTGTGCCACTGGCTACAGTGAGAGCAAAGTCAGGATGATCGCAGGACAGAAGAACACGAGTTGCTCCATGAAGAATTCCAACCTCAACTATCCTTCCATCGCCTTCCCGAGATTGAGCGGCACACAGACCGCTACCAGGTACCTGACGAGCGTGGATTCTTCTTCGTCCTCCTCGACTTACAAAGTAACAGTCAAGACACCATCGACGCTGAGCGTGAGAGTGGAGCCAACGACGCTCACATTCTCGCCAGGAGCAACGCTGGCCTTCACTGTTACTGTTTCGAGCAGCTCCGGCAGCGAGAGATGGCAGTTTGCATCCATAACTTGGACGGATGGGCGACACACGGTGTCCAGCCCCGTTGCTGTGAAGACCATGGCTTGCTCATGATTCTTATGGAGTAGACGGGGTTGCGAGGCAGAAGAGTTGACAGCATGCCTTTCACTCCCGACGACGTTTCATGTGACTACACAACGTTGTGGAGTGTGGGAACGAGTAGTCAGTAACATCTTCTACTTACAACATGGTCAAACGCTCAAGATTCGAGCAAATCCTTACATCCTTCTTGCTAACATCACATTCTAGAGCAGTATCATCACCAAAAGCATAATTGTCAAACTCCAGATTCAAATAGTATATGAATGAACTTAAAAGACACTCGGGCGATGAGAGCTAGTTTTTAAAGACATCTGTCAACTTAAGTTTGCAGCGGTTTCTCGAAAATGTTCTCGCGATCATAACAGAATCCAGCCTTTAAGTTCCATCCAGTTTCAGTCGATTCAAACCAGGTGTTCTTTCTTGCATGATCTTGAAGAAGGTAGGGCCGCAATTTAACAGGAGTAACAAGTTTTGGAGCGACCAGTTGATCGGGATCCATGGAAGAAGAGGCGATGTTTCAAGAGCTCGCCGGGTTTTTGAGAGCATGGAAGATCCGGACGTTTTGTCCTGGAACGCCATGCTCACGGCTTACACGCACAATGGATTCATGGAGCAAGCAAAGCGTTTCTTCGATTCCATGGAGCAGCGGAGTGTGGTGTCGTGGAACATTGTCCTGTCGGCACTTGGAGAGCTCGATGATTGTTGCTACGAGAGTTTCTTCGAATCCATGCCTTGTTGGGACGTGATCTCCACAAACACGGTGCTCAAAGTTCTCACTGAGCATGGAAAAATCGTCCAAGCTCGTGATATTTTCGACAATATAAGCGAGAGGAACGTTGTGTCGTGGTCAATAATGATCACTGCATATGCCCAGGTCGGAGATTTGCAAACCTCCGAGAGCTTCTTTTTAAAGATGGCAGAGGGAAACACGATAAGCTGGTCGGCTATGGTGGCCGCGTATTCTTACGAAGGATTGTTTATGGCCAGAGCTCGAGAGACGTTTGATTTGATGCCACAAAGGAATGTGGTGTCTTGGAACTCGATGGTCTGTGGATTTGCCCAAGCTGGATGCTTGGAGGAAGCAGAAGTGATGCTTGAGAAGCAACCGCAACACAACCAAGCGTCGTATGTTCCCCTTTTTCTTCTCTACGGTGAGAAGAAAAGGATCGATGAGCTCATGTCAATGTTCCAGCGGCTTCTGGAGAGGAATGTTGTGGTTTGGACGTCGCTCATATCAGCATATGCCCGTGGAGGGCAGCATAAAAAGGCGAACGATACCTTTGAAAGAATTCCATGCAGGAACACTGTGTGCTACAACATCATGCTTCAGATGTACCGCGAGAATCTTAATACTGAGAAAGTTTGCGAGCTTTTTGGCGACATGCCTCAGAGAAACTTGGCTTCGTGGACGACTATACTTCAAGCAAACGCGGATTCTGGTAATCTTTGCATGGCCACAACGACATTCTGGAAAATGCCGGGGTGGAGCGTGATAAGCTGGACTTCAATGGTGTGTGTGCTCGTGTCCAAGAGGAAGTTGGAAGAAGCGAAAGTTTACTTTGAGAGGTGCCCCATGCGTGACCTCATGTGTTGGAACGCTGCAATTTCAGCTTTAGCCACTGCTGGATATCTAGATCAAGCAAAATCTTTGCTCGAGAAAATCCCGGCGAGCAATAAGCTGTCATGGACAAGCATGGTAATCGCTTGTGGAGAGAATGGAAACGTGACTCAAGCCAGAGATTTAATCCCTTGGAACGCTTCTCAAGAAACATCAGTCTTGAATGCTCTGATCGTAACGCATGCCCATAATGGCCATCTTTTCGAAGCAAAAGAAATCTTCGACCAAATGCATGAGAAAAACACGGTTTCCTGGAATGCTATGATCGTTGCTTATGCTCAAAAAGGTTGCATCCAAACTGCGTTGGAGCTATCGTTCAGGATGTGCGTTGAAGGTGTCAACTGCGAGGAGACGACAGTCACAGGGATTTTGTTTGCGTTTAGCCACGAAGGAATGCTCCAGGATGCGCTGTCGTGGTTTAGATCCATGGCTTTTGATCACGACTTTAGACCGTCAGTGGAAAACTTCCGATGCATGGTAGACATTCTGGCGAGAATGGGAAGGATTCACGAGGCAGAAGAGTTGATTCACAGCATGCCATTCACTCCCGATGACGTTTCATGGGGAAGTTTGCTGAGTGCCTGTAGACTACAGAACGATGTGGAATGTGGGACACGAGTAGCCAGTAACATCTTCTACTTACAACAGGATCAAAAGCTCCTTAGAGCAAGTCCTTACATGCTTCTTGCTAGCATAACAAACTAGACAATGTGTATAAATATTTAATCGAAAGGAGGACAGTCGGTTTCATCCGCAATTGCTACCTCTCCTCTCTGAATTGAACAAGATCTATTTGTTTCTCTGAAGAAGACTACCAATGATTCAAGTTTTTGCTGGTCCTCCTTCGATTGATAGACAGTAGGCTTCTTGTTCTTAGCAAAGGTAATTGTATGGGCTGATTGTCCACACCAGATTTCTGAAGTAGAGCTTTGAAAACCCCCCAGTTTAATCAGCATTGATGGGAGCTCCCATCATCTTGACTGTGGAGTGCAGCATCAGGGCTTCGAGCATCTGGCTCTGCAAACTGATTGAGGAGAAAAGTCCAGAAAACGATAGCATTGCAAACTCCATAAGAAGGCCCAGTGCTTTCACGTCGGGCGCTTAGGTATGGGCCGTTGACTATTTCTTGTCGTTGACCTGACCATTGGATGGGGAATGGCTGGATCTGGATCGTGTTGGGCCAGAAACGCTTGCTTTGGAGTTCGGAACACACTTATGCTTGTCAAGTTCGAGCTTTGTCAACTTGAAATCTAGATCTATCTCTTACTCTTGAATTTCTTGGATTTGTCCAGCATATCTACCATCGCCGACGTTCGGTACGACTCATCATCTGAGGATGTCTCTTGTACCAGGCTTTCTGAAAGAACCCCACCAGTGCTCATTCTTTTAGCACTAGCACCAAGACAAGGAGCTGCATTGCTCCGTGGTTTAGCACCAGCACCTCTGCCCCCTCTGCCACCTCTGCCACCTTCGAAAAAGGCGGGGCGCTTCCGTGCTGATTTAAGTAACAAAATTCACAAGAGTTAGAACACAAAAGACATCCAAAATGTCTTACCTTTCGCCTGGTACGAAGCTCGCTGGTTGCAGTGAGAATTCCCCTTGGCAAGCAGCACAGCATGTCCCTCGGAGTGGTAATAATCCCGCTTCATGCACTGGATCAGCTCGTCGAGTTCTCTCACCAATCTCCTGGACAAGCCATCGCCAGCTCCAAACGCTCGGGAGCTCTCAATCTTTTGTTTCACGTCCACCAGCACTTGCTTTGCCGACGCCAAGCTGCCAGACCCCAGCTTACGAGCGGCAGCCATCGCCTTCGAGGCACTCACACGGTTCTTCTGCCTGTCCACCTCGATCTTTGTCGCCTCCTCTTCTTCGCCAGCTTTGAGCTCCTGGATCACCAAGCTCGAAGTTGCAAGCTGCTGGGTCTTGTTCGACTGCCCGGGGTCTTGAAAGCTTCCCTCAACTTTGAGAAGTTCCATCGACAAAGAGCTCGAGTCGGAGCTAGGCAGCAAGAGCTCCACCAGGATATCTCTCTCCTCTTCCGCATACAGGGATCCAAGCTTCACCGTCGCAGCTCGATCTCCATCCATGGCTGTCGTCCCGGCGGTGGCCTCCACACTCCTGATCTTCGCTCCGCCACTCGCCTCGATGCAGACTTCCACTTCCTGTGCCACCACGCTAAGCAGCCCGCCAATGCACTGAGCAAACGCGTGCTGGACGGTGGACTCCTCTTGCACGTAGCAAAAGCTTCCGCCTGTGGCCTCCGCGATACTCAGCATGGCCTCGGGATCATGGTCACTTCCAAATCCGAAAGTGTGCACTGGAACCCGCTCACTGCAGTCCTCGAGGTAGGAATCCACTGGAAGAACTTTGCATCGCTTGAACGTGATCGCATTGTCCATCCCGTCCGAGAGAAGCATGATGCTCGACACCGGGTTCCTATTCTTGCGCCGCGAAAGAAGATCGAATCCAGCCTTTAGCCCTGGACGGATCTCTGTTCCTCCCAAGCTCCGGAGCTTCTCCACTGCACTGAGTGCCGCGGCTCGACCGTCGTGAGTCATCCTCTTGAGACCGAGATGGACTTTGGGCTCGTCCGAGAAGGAGACGATCGCGAGGCGGTCCTGCTGTCGCAAATTCCGGATCACAAACTCCATGGCGGTCTTGACGAGCTCCAGCTTCTGGCCGCGCATGCTGCCGCTCACGTCCAGCACTGTGACCAGATCGACCGGGGCGCGAGCATCGGCGGCGGCCAAGCTATCGTCTTTGGGAGCTTTGAGATGGACGAGCGCTGTATAGCATCGCTCTTTTTCTTCTTCTTCTTCTCCCCTGGCCTTGATCTTGTCGACCTCGCCGATGATCTTGAGCTCCGGCTGCTCGCCAATCACTAGCCAGCCTAGCTCCTCGCTAAGATGGACGATCTCGTCTTCCTGGAGCGTGCTGCTTACCTCGGAATTCTCAAACCCTGCCGCCATGTTCTCTATCTATGACCTAATCGAAGAGAATCATATACTTGCATACTTTTCTTGGTATATTCGTTAATTTGTAGGTCATCTTTATTCTTGATGATCTATGATCTATAGAACTATTTAAGTTCCCAGCAACCATCTTGTGGAATTCTGGAAGGTCATGCCGGTTAAGTCAAGTCACTGACCCATCTCTTGTCATTGATCAAGAAAAAAACGAGCATAACGACGTGGAAAATCTCGTGCGAGCAAGCAAGACTAACATTAAGAAGAAATGTATTTGCCGTATCCAAAGGGAGATCCCCATGCCTACGCTCTGCTTTATAAGAGGATGGTCTCCCACAGTAAGTTTTCGTGCTCCTATACTCTTTAGTTGTGCAATCCGCGTTCTAGTTTGATCGCTATGGGGGGAGTTCTTCGTGCAACTCTAATGGTTGTTGTGATCTATGGCACTGGATTTCTCCACGCAGGTCTTGCAAGCACGGAGAGTGATCTTGTCGACGCACACAACTCCGCGAGATCTGCTGTTAATGTTCCTCCGCTGGTTTGGAGCACGCAAGTTGCCTCGTATGCGCAAAACTGGGCCTCGACTCTCCAGGCGAGCTGTCAAATGGTCCACTCTAAAGGGCCGTATGGCGAGAACTTGTATATGTGGAGGGGGAGCGATGGCTTGGTGGCGCCTCCAGCCACGGACGCAGTCAAAGAATGGGTGAAGGAAAAGGCTGATTACAATTACGCATCAAACACTTGTGCTCCGGGCAAGGTGTGCGGGCACTACACTCAGGTTGTGTGGAGGAACTCGGTGCGAGTGGGATGCGCTCGAGTGAAATGCAATGGTGCGAATGCGTACATTGTGAGTTGCAACTATGATCCACCAGGCAACGTTGGAGGCCAGAAACCTTACTAAAGATCGATATGAAAATAGTTATGTATGAAATAAAGATGAAATATCAATAAATTTGCTCTGCTGTTTTTGCTCTGCCTTCATGCTACCAACGAAGGGATTGAAGACGTCAAGCAACACCATTCTGCTAATCAGGTAGAACGCAATTCTTTTCTTGTTTCTTATTTCTTAGTGACTCAGACAAACTGGAGGACGTGGGAAGTTCTTGTATGGGACGTGTTTGTACCGAATGGAGCGATATCATTGTGGGAAACGATTGGTTCTCTTCTCAAAAATTAAAAATTAAATAATTTGAGTGCTTTTTATTTATTAATCATATTGATAACTTGTAATAAAATTAATCTTGTGTTATAAATTATAAACATCAGATTAACTTAGAATATACTAGTAAGTGGTTAAGAAAGTTTATAAATTATAGATACAAAATGAATTAGATAGTAAAATATCCCAGAATATTTTAGTATATTTTAGATACAGGTATACTGTTAATAGTTTTGTACGTGTGAGATTTGTTAATTTAAGCTGGACTTCCTTGTCCATGACCAAGAACAACCAGGAAAGTGTATTGCTTTTACTGAAAGAAAGTCTTCACTCCTCACTCCTTCGCTCTTTGTTTATGCTCCTGGCTTGGCATCTATAGCCGCATTGTGGAGCAAGCTTGATCAAACTTCCGTTGGGTCCCAGTAATGAACACCTAGGGCAAGAAAAGTTGGGAAAGAATGGAGATTCTTTCTCTCGATCGGTGTCAAACACCGAGGTGGCCGAGTTCGTGGCGGCCAAGCAGCCAGGCAGCGTGAGCGAGGCCCAAGCCGTGGTGGCCAAGCTCACGGCGGCGCCGCTGGCCAAGCGGTGCTGGGTGTGCTACATGGGCAACGAGGACTACGGCAACTGGCTCCGGGGCACGGTCAACGGCCGCCCGGTATCCTTCATGCTGAGCCAGAACTCGGACAGCTTCGTGTCGGTCAATGCGGTCAATAGGCTGGGGCCGACCACGACGCTATGCCGCCCGTTTTGCGTCAAGTTCCTGGGCTGGAACCCCTCTCCGCCCCACAATCGCAAAGTTCGCAAACTCAAGTTTCAGCTTGAGGGCGGGTACAAGGGCTGCATGGATTTTTCAGTCATGGATCTGATTCACCACGATTTCGTCCTCGGGCACCAGCTCTTGAAGGTGTGCTCCGAGGCGATTTACAAGGACGATGATGGTATCATCAAGGTCGACTTTGGATTAGGTGGTGGGCAGAAGTTTACCTCGCCGTTCCACCAGGGGCGTCTCCAGTTTGAGGAGTAAACGGCGTGAGTTTCTGCTCGCTTCTCTTTTCAGTTCTGTTAACTTGCAGGTGATGAAAGGGCTTGGACATCGTCCAGAAGTATCCTGATGGTGTTTTGGAACTGTGACCTTAGGCTGGCCAGCTCATGCACATCAACTCTGGCATCAAGCTGCAAGCTCCAAGACGTATCCAGGTATGAGACTTCTAGGAGAGGACCTGAACCTCCGCTCCCTCTACCACGTCCTCTCGAGAAAGAGTACCAGGTGCTCGCCGATGTCATGCACTGGCATTGCGTCTGTGCCCTCGCCTCCAGGAAAATAGCCCATGACAATCACCTAGTAAGAAAATCTGAAAACTGATAGCAAACCTTCTAGAGACCGATATCGTATTTGTCGAGCTCCTTTTACATAGCGACTCCTCTCGCACTCTTTTGCAGGCTCTGGACGTCAGGGCGGCCAACAAGCAGGTTCTGTTCGGCCTGGCACATTGCGAACTTGAGGAAGTCGAAACAAGGTTTTTGATTCCTCGCTGTAACCACACTTGTCATCGTTGTTCAGGTGGTGAATAAGATCAAGCTACAAGGCTCAGAAACTATCAAAAAGATCATCAAGGAAAACAAATGTACACGTACCATGTCTGAATAATGCATGGGTTTGGGGCCGAAAAGAACAAGGTGCGAATATTCCCTGCTAACGTTCTTGAAGATCTGGAAAAGAGTGTAGTGCCGGGATATCTCAAGCACAGCCCTGAGGATTTGGATGCGGCTCTACATCTTGAAGGTGAGCACCACCAAACGCTCAATGCAGGGTTTTAAAATCACGGGTATATTCTTCTCCTGAAACGGTCCTAGGGCAAGAAATGGAGCTTCTTCCTCTCGAGGTATGCAGCTTTCTCCAGTCGGTGCCCAACGCTGAGGTGGCCGAGTTCGTGGCGGGCAAGCAGCCAGGCAGCTTGAACGAGGCTCAGGACTTGGTAGCCGAGCTCACGGCGGCGCCGCTGGCCAAGACGTGCCTGGTGTCCTTCATGGGCGACGACGACTATGGCCGCTGGCTCCGGGGCACGGTCAACGGCCGCCCGGCGTCCTTCATGCTCAGCCAGAACTCGGACAGCTTCGTGTCGGTCAACGCCGTCAACCGCCTCGGGCTGACGACTTCGCTGTGCCGTCCGTTTAGCGTCAACCTGCTTGTGGGGAGCACCGCGCAGCCCAGCAATCGCAAAGTGGCGGACCTCGAGTTTGAGCTCGAGGGCGGGTTCAAGGGATGCCTGGATTTCGCGGTCATGAATCTGGCTCGCCACGATTTCGTCCTCGGCCACGAGCTCATAAACTTGTGCTCCGAGTATGTTCTCAGCTTTCGGGATGGCATGAAGGTCGAGCTAGAATGCGGAGGGCAAAGTTTCACCTCCCGGTTTCAGCAGGGCCGTCCCCAGTTTTAGGTTATCCGTAAGTTTACAATGAAGTTTCCGTCGTTTTCTGAGTTCTCATGTAGACTCTCCAGGTTGTCGAGGGTCATGAATCGTCGAGAAGATGTTCTTGGATGTTGTGTTTTTTCCATTGTTTTCCATTGTTTCATCGCAGAGCTTGTTTCCATCGTCTTTCCATGTTTTCCATTGTTTCGTATAGTTCTCTGAGTTTCTCTTTACGTGGCTCTTTGATTAGTCACGCTTTCTGGTCCTGGAGAATCGCCCCCAGCTGCTTCCAGGCCTGTCTCCTCTGTGCCATTAAGAACGCACTGGGCTGTGATTAAAAATCCAATGAAATCAAAAGCATTGGTTTGCAGATCAACATATGCTTTTTTTTTCTTTCTCCCCGAGCGGACAAAGAATATAAGAATTGTAATCTATTTGGCCTGGATGGCTCTAAATAGGCCTGAATCAGCATTGCAACTTTGGCATTAGATTCTCTTTCACCTCTTGAACCCATCCCGTGGCCATTGCTCATGCCCAACCAGAAAATCATGCTTCAGATGTACCGCGAGAATCTTAATACTGAGAAAGTTTGCGAGCTTTTTGGCGACATGCCTCAGAGAAACTTGGCTTCGTGGACGACTATACTTCAAGCAAACGCGGATTCTGGTAATCTTTGCATGGCCACAACGACATTCTGGAAAATGCCGGGGTGGAGCGTGATAAGCTGGACTTCAATGGTGTGTGTGCTCGTGTCCAAGAGGAAGTTGGAAGAAGCGAAAGTTTACTTTGAGAGGTGCCCCATGCGTGACCTTATGTGTTGGAACGCTGCAATTTCAGCTTTAGCCACTGCTGGATATCTAGATCACTTGCTCGAGAAAATCCCGGCGAGCAATAATCTGTCATGGACAAGCATGGTAATCGCTTGTGGAGAGAATGGAAACGTGACTCAAGCCAGAGATTTAATCCCTTGGAACGCTTCTCAAGAAACATCAGTCTTGAATGCTCTGATCGTAACGCATGCCCATAATGGCCATCTTTTCGAAGCAAAAGAAATCTTCCACCAAATGCATGAGAAAAACACGGTTTCCTGGAATGCTATGATCGTTGCTTATGCTCAAAAAGGTTACATCCAAACTGCGTTGGAGCTATCGTTCAGGATGTGCCTTGAAGGTGTCAGCTGCGAGGAGACGACAGTCACAGGGATTTTGTTTGCGTTTAGCCACGAAGGAATGCTCCAGGAGGCGCTGTCGTGGTTTAGATCCATGGCTTTTGATCACGACTTTAGACCGTCAGTGGAAAACTTCCGATGCATGGTAGACATTCTGGCGAGAATGGGAAGGATTCACGAGGCAGAAGAGTTGATTCACAGCATGCCATTCACTCCCGATGACGTTTCATGGGGAAGTTTGCTGAGTGCCTGTAGACTACAGAACGATGTGGAATGTGGGACACGAGTAGCCAGTAACATCTTCTACTTACAACAGGATCAAAAGCTCCTTAGAGCAAGTCCTTACATGCTTCTTGCTAGCATAACAAACTAGACAATGTGTATAAATATTTAATAGGTTTCATCCACAATTACTACCTCTCCTCTCTGAATTGAACAAGATCTATTTGTTTCTCTGAAGAAGACTACTTTTGTTAAAAATGCATGTGACAGAAGGAGCAAGAAGTTACATGTCCTCCTTAGATTGATAGACAATAAGCTTCTCGTTCTGGAACATAGCAAAGGTAATTGTATGGGCTGATTGTCCACACCAGATTTCTGAAGTAGAGCTTTGAAAACCCTCCAGTTTAATCAGCATTGATGGGAGCTCCCATCATCTTGACTGTGGAGTGCAGCATCAGGGCTTCGAGCATCTGGCTCTGCAAACTGATTGAGGAGAAAAGTCCAGAAAACGATAGCAATGCAAACTCCATAAGAAGGTCCAGTGCTTTCACGTCGGGCGCTTAAGTATGGGTCGTTGACTATTTCTTGTCGTTGACCTGACCATTGGATGGGGAATGGCTGGATCTGGATCGTGTTGGGCCAGAAACGCTTGCTTTGGAGTTCAGAACACACTTATGCTTGTCAAGTTCGAGCTTTGTCAACTTGAAATCTAGATCTATCTCTTACTCTTGAATTTCTTGGATTTGTCCAGCATATCTACCATCGCCGACGTTCGGTACGACTCATCATCTGAGGATGTCTCTTGTACCAGGCTTTCTGAAAGAACCCCACCAGTGCTCATTCTTTTAGCACTAGCACCAAGACAAGGAGCTGCATTGCTCCGTGGTTTAGCACCAGCACCTCTGCCCCCTCTGCCACCTCTGCCACCTTCGAAAAAAGCGGGGCGCTTCCGTGCTGATTTAAGTAACAAAATTCACAAGAGTTAGAACACAAAAGAGCTGTCCAAAATGTCTTACCTCTCGACTGGTACGAAGCTCGCTGGTTGCAGTGAGAATTCCCCTTGGCAAGCAGCACAGCATGTCCCTCGGAGTGGTAATAATCCCGCTTCATGCACTGGATCAGCTCGTCGAGTTCTCTCACCAATCTCCTGGACAAGCCATCGCCAGCTCCAAACGCTCGGGAGCTCTCTATCTTTTGTTTCACGTCCACCAGCACTTGCTTTGCCGACGCCAAGCTGCCAGACCCCAGCTTACGAGCGGCAGCCATCGCCTTCGAGGCACTCACACGGTTCTTCTGCCTGTCCACCTCGATCTTTGTCGCCTCCTCTTCTTCGCCAGCTTTGAGCTCCTGGATCACCAAGCTCGAAGTTGCAAGCAGTTGGGTCTTGTTCGACTGCCCAGGGTCTTGAAAGCTTCCCTCAACTTTGAGAAGTTCCATCGACAAAGAGCTCGAGTCGGAGCTAGGCAGCAAGAGCTCCACCAGGATATCTCTCTCCTCTTCCGCATACAGGGATCCAAGCTTCACCGTCGCAGCTCGATCTCCATCCATGGCTGTCATCCCGGCGGTGGCCTCCACACTCTTGATCTTCGCTCCGCCACTCGCCTCGATGAAGACCTCCACTTCCTGTGCCACCACGCTAAGCAGCCCGCCAATGCACTGAGCAAACGCGTGCTGGACGGTGGACTCCTCTTGCACGTAGCAAAAGCTTCCGCCTGTGGCCTCCGCGATACTCAGCATGGCCTCGGGATCATGGTCACTTCCAAATCCGAAAGTGTGCACTGGAACCCGCTCACTGCAGTCCTCGAGGTAGGAATCCACTGGAAGAACTTTGCATCGCTTGAACGTGATCGCATTGTCCATCCCGTCCGAGAGAAGCATGATGCTCGACACCGGGTTCCTATTCTTGCGCCGCGAAAGAAGATCGAATCCAGCCTTTAGCCCTGGACGGATCTCTGTTCCTCCCAAGCTCCGGAGCTTCTCCACTGCACTGAGTGCCGCGGCTCGACCGTCGTGAGTCATCCTCTTGAGACCGAGATGGACTTTGGGCTCGTCCGAGAAGGAGACGATCGCGAGGCGGTCCTGCTGTCGCAAATTCCGGATCACAAACTCCATGGCGGTCTTGACGAGCTCCAGCTTCTGGCCGCGCATGCTGCCGCTCACGTCCAGCACTGTGACCAGATCGACCGGGGCGCGAGCATCGGCGGCGGCCAAGCTATCGTCTTTGGGAGCTTTGAGATGGACGAGCGCTGTATAGCATCGCTCTTTTTCTTCTTCTTCTTCTCCCCTGGCCTTGATCTTGTCGACCTCGCCGATGATCTTGAGCTCCGGCTGCTCGCCAATCACTAGCCAGCCTAGCTCCTCGCTAAGATGGACGATCTCGTCTTCCTGGAGCGTGCTGCTTACCTCGGAATTCTCAAACCCTGCCGCCATGTTCTCTATCTATGACCTAATCGAAGAGAATCATATACTTGCATACTTTTCTTGGTATATTCGTTAATTTGTAGGTCATCTTTATTCTTGATGATCTATGATCTATAGAACTATTTAAGTTCCCAGCAACCATCTTGTGGAATTCTGGAAGGTCATGCCGGTTAAGTCAAGTCACTGACCCATCTCTTGTCATTGATCAAGAAAAAAACGAGCATAACGACGTGGAAAATCTCGTGCGAGCAAGCAAGACTAACATTAAGAAGAAATGTATTTGCCGTATCCAAAGGGAGATCCCCATGCCTACGCTCTGCTTTATAAGAGGATGGTCTCCCACAGTAAGTTTTCGTGCTCCTATACTTTTGAGTTGTGCAATCCGCGTTCTAGTTTGATCGCTATGGGGGGAGTTCTTCGTGCAACTCTAATGGTTCTTGTGATCTATGGCACTGGATTTCTCCACGCAGGTCTTGCAAGCACGGAGAGTGATCTTGTCGACGCACACAACTCCGCGAGATCTGCTGTTAATGTTCCTCCGCTGGTTTGGAGCACGCAAGTTGCCTCGTATGCGCAAAACTGGGCCTCGACTCTCCAGGCGAGCTGTCAAATGGTCCACTCTAAAGGGCCGTATGGCGAGAACTTGTATATGTGGAGGGGGAGCGATGGCTTGGTGGCGCCTCCAGCCACGGACGCAGTCAAAGAATGGGTGAAGGAAAAGGCTGATTACAATTACGCATCAAACACTTGTGCTCCGGGCAAGGTGTGCGGGCACTACACTCAGGTTGTGTGGAGGAACTCGGTGCGAGTGGGATGCGCTCGAGTGAAATGCAATGGTGCGAATGCGTACATTGTGAGTTGCAACTATGATCCACCAGGCAACGTTGGAGGCCAGAAGCCTTACTAAAGATCGATATGAAAATAGTTATGTATGAAATAAAGATGAAATATCAATAAATTTGCTCTGCTGTTTTTGCTCTGCCTTTATGCTACCAACGAAGGGACTGAAGACGTCAAGCAACACCATTCTGCTAATCAGGTAGAAAGCAATTCTTTTCTTGTTTCTTATTTCTTAGTGACTCAGATAAACTGGAGGACGTGGGAAGTTCTTGTATGGGACGTGTTTGTACCGAATGGAGCGATATCATTGTGGGAGATGTCATAAACGATTGGTTATCTTCTCAAAAATTAGAAATTAAATAATTTGAGTGCTTTTTATTTATTAATCACATTGATAACTTGTAATAAAATTAATCTTGTGTTATAAATTATAAACATCAGATTAACTTAGAATATACTAGTAAGTGGTTAAGAAAGTTTATAAATTATAGATACAAAATGAATAACAATCTTTAGATAGTAAAATAAACCAGAATATTTTAGTATATTTTAGATACAGGTTCCAAAAATTATATACTGTTAATAATTTTGTACATGTGAGATTTGTTAATTTAAGCTGGACTTCCTTGTCCAAGAACAACCAGGAAAGTGTATTGCTTTTACTGAAAGAAAGCTTCACTCCTCACTCCTTCGCTCTTTGTTTATGCTCCTAGCGCAAACTTTCTGTTAAGTATATTCTTCTCCCAGTAGGGCAAGAAAAGTTAGGAAAAAATGGAGCTTCTTTCTCTCGAGGTACACAGCTATCTCCAGTCGGTGTCAAACACCGAGGTGGCTGAGTTCGTGGCGGCCAAGCAGCCAGGCAGCGTGAGCGAGGCCCAAGCCGTGGTGGCCACGGCGGCGCCGCTGGCCAAGCGGTGCTGGGTGTCTACATGGGCAACGAGGACTACGGCAACTGGTCAACGGCCGCCCGGTATCCTTCATGCTGAGCCAGAACTCGGACAGCTTCGTGTCGGTCAATGCGGTCAATAGGCTGGGGCCGACCAGGACGCTGTGCCGCCCGTTTTGCGTCAAGTTCCTGGGCGGGAACCCCTCTCCGCCCCACAATCGCAAAGTTCGCAAACTCAAGTTTCAGCATGGATTTTTCAGTTATGGATCTGATTCACCACGATTTCGTCCTCGGGCACCAGCTCTTGAAGGTGTGCTCCGAGGCGATTTACAAGGACGATGATGGTATCATCAAGGTCGACTTTGGATTAGGCGGTGGGCAGAAGTTTACCTCGCCGTTCCGCCAGGGTCGTCCCCAGTTTGAGGAGTAAACGCCGTGAGTTTCTGCTCGCTTCTCTTTTCAGTTCTGTTAACTTGCAGGTGATGAAAGGGCTTGGACATCGTCCAGAAGTTATGATTCTCATGGTTTTCACGTTTCCCAAGCTCGGCTATCATTTTAGAAGACGAAGCTATATAAGCTTTGGGAACAGCCTCATCAATAAAAGCACCTATGAAACCATCAATGGAATAATATCCTGATGGTGTTTTGGAACTGTGACCTTAGGCTGGCCAGCTCATCCACATCAACTATCACGTTCGCGACGGCATCAAGCTGCAAGCTCCAAGACGTATCCAGGTGTGAGACTCTAGGAGAGGGCCTGAACCTCCGCTCCCTCTACCACGTCCTCCCGAGAAAGAGTACCAGGTGCTCGCCGATGTCATGCACTGGCATTGCGTCTGTGCCCTCGCCTCGAGGAACATAGCCCATGACAATCACCTAGTAAGAAGATCTGAAAACTGATAGCAAACCTTCTAGAGACCGATGTCGTATTTGTCTGTCATTGTTGTTCAGGTGGTGAATAAGATCAAGCTACAAGGCTCAGAAACTATGAAAAAGATCATCAAGGAAAACAAATGTACACGTACCATGGTTTGGGCCGAAAAGAACAAGGTGCGAATATTCCCTGCTAACGTTCTTGAGGACCTGGAAAAGAGTGTAGTGCCGGGATATCTCAAGCACAGCCCTGAGAATTTGGATGCGGCTCTACATCTTGAGATGAGCACCAGGGCCCCAAGCAGGGTTTTAAAATCACGGGTATATTCTTCTCCTGAAACGGTCCTAGGGCAAGAAATGGAGCTTCTTCCTCTCGAGGTATGCAGCTTTCTCCAGTCGGTACCCAACGCTGAGGTGGCCGAGTTCGTGGCGGGCAAGCAGCCAGGCAGCTTGAACGAGGCTCAAGACTTGGTAGCCGAGCTCACGGCGGCGCCGCTGGCCAAGACGTGCCTGGTGTCCTTCATGGGCGACGACGACTATGGCCGCTGGCTCCGGGGCACGGTCAACGGCCGCCCGGCGTCCTTCATGCTCAGCCAGAACTCGGACAGCTTCGTGTCGGTCAACGCCGTCAACCGCCTCGGGCTGACGACTTCGCTGTGCCGTCCGTTTAGCGTCAACCTGCTTGTGGGGAGCACCGCGCAGCCCAGCAATCGCAAAGTGGCGGACCTCGAGTTTGAGCTCGAGGGCGGGTTCAAGGGATGCCTGGATTTCGCGGTCATGAATCTGGCTCGCCACGATTTCGTCCTCGGCCACGAGCTCATAAACTTGTGCTCCGAGTATGTTCTCAGCTTTCGGGATGGCATGAAGGTCGAGCTAGAATGCGGAGGGCAAAGTTTCACCTCCCGGTTTCAGCAGGGCCGTCCCCAGTTTTAGGTTATCCGTAAGTTTACAATGAAGTTTCCGTCGTTTTCTGAGTTCTCATGTAGACTCTCCAGGTTGTCGAGGGTCATGAATCGTCGAGAAGATGTTCTTGGATGTTGTGTTTTTTCCATTGTTTTCCATTGTTTCATCGCAGAGCTTGTTTCCATCGTCTTTCCATGTTTTCCATTGTTTCGTATAGTTCTCTGAGTTTCTCTTTACGTGGCTCTTTGATTAGTCACGCTTTCTGGTCCTGGAGAATCGCCCCCAGCTGCTTCCAGGCCTGTCTCCTCTGTGCCATTAAGAACGCACTGGGCTGTGATTAAAAATCCAATGAAATCAAAAGCATTGGTTTGCAGATCAACATATGCTTTTTTTTTCTTTCTCCCCGAGCGGACAAAGAATATAAGAATTGTAATCTATTTGGCCTGGATGGCTCTAAATAGGCCTGAATCAGCATTGCAACTTTGGCATTAGATTCTCTTTCACCTCTTGAACCCATCCCGTGGCCATTGCTCATGCCCAACCAGAAAATCATGCTTCAGATGTACCGCGAGAATCTTAATACTGAGAAAGTTTGCGAGCTTTTTGGCGACATGCCTCAGAGAAACTTGGCTTCGTGGACGACTATACTTCAAGCAAACGCGGATTCTGGTAATCTTTGCATGGCCACAACGACATTCTGGAAAATGCCGGGGTGGAGCGTGATAAGCTGGACTTCAATGGTGTGTGTGCTCGTGTCCAAGAGGAAGTTGGAAGAAGCGAAAGTTTACTTTGAGAGGTGCCCCATGCGTGACCTTATGTGTTGGAACGCTGCAATTTCAGCTTTAGCCACTGCTGGATATCTAGATCACGCAAAAGCTTTGCTCGAGAAAATCCCGGCGAGCAATAATCTGTCATGGACAAGCATGGTAATCGCTTGTGGAGAGAATGGAAACGTGACTCAAGCCAGAGATTTAATCCCTTGGAACGCTTCTCAAGAAACATCAGTCTTGAATGCTCTGATCGTAACGCATGCCCATAATGGCCATCTTTTCGAAGCAAAAGAAATCTTCCACCAAATGCATGAGAAAAACACGGTTTCCTGGAATGCTATGATCGTTGCTTATGCTCAAAAAGGTTACATCCAAACTGCGTTGGAGCTATCGTTCAGGATGTGCGTTGAAGGTGTCAACTGCGAGGAGACGACAGTCACAGGGATTTTGTTTGCGTTTAGCCACGAAGGAATGCTCCAGGAGGCGCTGTCGTGGTTTAGATCCATGGCTTTTGATCACGACTTTAGACCGTCAGTGGAAAACTTCCGATGCATGATAGACATTCTGGCGAGAATGGGAAGGATTCACGAGGCAGAAGAGTTGATTCACAGCATGCCATTCACTCCCGATGACGTTTCATGGGGATGTTTGCTGAGTGCCTGTAGACTACAGAACGATGTGGAATGTGGGGCACGAGTAGCCAGTAACATCTTCTACTTACAACAGGATCAAAAGCTCCTTAGAGCAAGTCCTTACATGCTTCTTGCTAGCATAACAAACTAGACAATGTGTATAAATATTTAATACAGTCGGTTTCATCCACAATTACTACCTCTCCTCTCTGAATTGAACAAGATCTATTTGTTTCTCTGAAGAAGACTACTTTTGTTAAAAATGCATGTGACAGAAGGAGCAAGAAGTTACATGTCCTCCTTAGATTGATAGACAATAAGCTTCTTGTTCTGGAACATAGCAAAGGTAATTGTATGGGCTGATTGTCCACACCAGATTTCTGAAGTAGAGCTTTGAAAACCCTCCAGTTTAATCAGCATTGATGGGAGCTCCCATCATCTTGACTGTGGAGTGCAGCATCAGGGCTTCGAGCATCTGGCTCTGCAAACTGATTGAGGAGAAAAGTCCAGAAAACGATAGCAATGCAAACTCCATAAGAAGGCCCAGTGCTTTCACGTCGGACGCTTAGGTATGGGTCGTTGACTATTTCTTGTCGTTGACCTGACCATTGGATGGGGAATGGCTGGATCTGGATCGTGTTGGGCCAGAAACGCTTACTTTGGAGTTCGGAACACACTTATGCTTGTCAAGTTCGAGCTTTGTCAACTTGAAATCTAGATCTATCTCTTACTCTTGAATTTCTTGGATTTGTCCAGCATATCTACCATCGCCGACGTTCGGTACGACTCATCATCTGAGGATGTCTCTTGTACCAGGCTTTCTGAAAGAACCCCACCAGTGCTCATTCTTTTAGCACTAGCACCAAGACAAGGAGCTGCATTGCTCCGTGGTTTAGCACCAGCACCTCTGCCCCCTCTGCCACCTCTGCCACCTTCGAAAAAGGCGGGGCGCTTCCGTGCTGATTTAAGTAACAAAATTCACAAGAGTTAGAACACAAAAGAGCTGTCCAAAATGTCTTACCTCTCGACTGGTACGAAGCTCGCTGGTTGCAGTGAGAATTCCCCTTGGCAAGCAGCACAGCATGTCCCTCGGAGTGGTAATAATCCCGCTTCATGCACTGGATCAGCTCGTCGAGTTCTCTCACCAATCTCCTGGACAAGCCATCGCCAGCTCCAAACGCTCGGGAGCTCTCTATCTTTTGTTTCACGTCCACCAGCACTTGCTTTGCCGACGCCAAGCTGCCAGACCCCAGCTTACGAGCGGCAGCCATCGCCTTCGAGGCACTCACACGGTTCTTCTGCCTGTCCACCTCGATCTTTGTCGCCTCCTCCTCTTCGCCAGCTTTGAGCTCCTGGATCACCAAGCTCGAAGTTGCAAGCAGTTGGGTCTTGTTCGAATGCCCAGGGTCTTGAAAGCTTCCCTCAACTTTGAGAAGTTCCATCGACAAAGAGCTCGAGTCGGAGCTAGGCAGCAAGAGCTCCACCAGGATATCTCTCTCCTCTTCCGCATACAGGGATCCAAGCTTCACCGTCGCAGCTCGATCTCCATCCATGGCTGTCATCCCGGCGGTGGCCTCCACACTCTTGATCTTCGCTCCGCCACTCGCCTCGATGAAGACCTCCACTTCCTGTGCCACCACGCTAAGCAGCCCGCCAATGCACTGAGCAAACGCGTGCTGGACGGTGGACTCCTCTTGCACGTAGCAAAAGCTGCCGCCTGTGGCCTCGGCGATGCTGAGCATGGCCTCGGGATCATGGTCACTTCCAAATCCGAAAGTGTGCACTGGAACCCGCTCACTGCAGTCCTCGAGGTAGGAATCCACTGGAAGAACTTTGCATCGCTTGAACGTGATCGCATTGTCCATCCCGTCCGAGAGAAGCATGATGCTCGACACCGGGTTCCTATTCTTGCGCCGCGAAAGAAGATCGAATCCAGCCTTTAGCCCTGGACGGATCTCTGTTCCTCCCAAGCTCCGGAGCTTCTCCACTGCACTGAGTGCCGCGGCTCGACCGTCGTGAGTCATCCTCTTGAGACCGAGATGGACTTTGGGCTCGTCCGAGAAGGAGACGATCGCGAGGCGGTCCTGCTGTCGCAAATTCCGGATCACAAACTCCATGGCGGTCTTGACGAGCTCCAGCTTCTGGCCGCGCATGCTGCCGCTCACGTCCAGCACTGTGACCAGATCGACCGGGGCGCGAGCATCATCGGAGCTATCGCTTTTAGGAGCTTTGAGATGGACGAGCGCTGTATAGCATCGCTCTTCTTCTTCTTCTCCCCTGGCCTTGATCTTGTCGACCTCGCCGATGATCTTGAGCTCCGGCTGCTCGCCAATCACTAGCCAGCCTAGCTCCTCGCTAAGATGGACGATCTCGTCTTCCTGGAGCGTGAGATCCATGCTGCTTACCTCGGATTTCTCAAATCCTGCCGCCATTGTAATCGAAGAGAGCTATTTACGTAGCTAGCTACTTGCCGTGTGGGCGAAGGTTTCGAACTTTATACCTTTACTGAACAAGGGTATCTATTATAACTATTACGTTTTGTCCTGGAACGCCATCGCCATGTATTTGATTTCGAGAAAACGCTGCAATGAATCAGCTTATCAAAAGCTCACAAAATCCAGCTCTCTCCATCTTTAGTTTGATCACAAAATGGAGAGGTTGCTTGCTTAAAGATGGTGATGCCATTCTCAAGTATAAAGCTGGTTATCTCCCTTTATCTTACTGTTTATGCTTGCAACATCAACTAGGATGCCACAGCTGCAAGGGCTTTCACCAGGTTTCCAGTGATCTGTAAGTTCTGTGATTCTGCTCTTTTGCTTAACTTCTCCATGTTTCCACCAACACACCGCAACATGCATCAAATAGAAAAATCTAGATTTATCTATTACTCTTGAACTTCTTAGACTTGTCCAGCATATCTACCATCGCCGACGTTTCATAGGATGTCTCTGGCTCATCGTCTTGTGCCAAGGAACTTCTAGCGTGGAAATCGAATTTGCTAAAGTTTGCGAACGCTACGTTGCTGCTGCTGTGGTTGGTGCTGCCACAGAGAGGTACGTTGTTGCTGCTGCAACCGGCAAAACGGGCTGATTCAAAGAGAGAGAAGAGAGTTCACAAGAGTTAGAACACAAAAGAGCTGTCCAAAATGTCTTACATGTTGGCTGGTACGTTGGCTGGTACGAAGCTCGCTGGTTGCAGTGAGAATTCCCCTTGGCAAGCAGCATGGCATGCCCCCCAAACTGGTAATAATCCTCCTTCATGCACTGGATCAGCTCGTCGAGTTCTCTCACCAATCTCTTGGACAAGCCATCGCCAGCTCCAAACGCTCGGGAGCTCTCAATCTTTTCCTTCACGTCCACCAGCGCTTGCTTTGCCGATGCCAAGCTGCCAGACCCCAGCTTACGAGCGGCAGCCATCGCCTTCGAGGCACTCACACGGTTCTTCTGCCTGTCCACCTCAATCCTTACCGCCTCCTCTTCTTCGCCAGCTTTGAGCTCCTGGATTACCAAGCTCGAAGTTGCAAACTGCTGGGTCTTGTTCGACTGCCCGGGGTCTCGAAAGCTCCCCCCAACTTTGAGAAGTTCCATCGACGAAGAGCTCGAGTCAGAGCTAGGCAGCAAGAGCTCCACCAGGATATCTCTCTCCTCTTCCGCGTACAAGGATCCAAGCTTCACTGTCGCAGCTCGATCGCCATCCATGGCCGTCGTTCCGGCGGTGGCTTCCACACTCCTGATCTTCGCTCCGCCACTCGCCTCGATGCAGACCTCCACTTCCTGTGCCACCACGCTAAGCAGCCCGCCAATGCACTGAGCAAACGCGTGCTGGACGGTGGACTCCTCTTGCACGTAGCAAAAGCTGCCGCCTGTGGCCTCGGCGATGCTGAGCATGGCCTCGGGATCATGGTCACTTCCAAATCCGAAAGTGTGCACTGGAACCCGCTCACTGCAGTCCTCGAGGTAGGAATCCACTGGAAGAACTTTGCATCGCTTGAACGTGATCGCATTGTCCATCCCGTCCGAGAGAAGCATGATGCTCGACACCGGGTTCCTGTTCCTGCGCCGCGAGAGAAGATCGAATCCAGCCTTTAGCCCCGGACGGATCTCGGTCCCTCCCAGGGTCCGCAGCTTCTCCACTGCACTGAGTGCCGCCTCTCGACCGTCGTAAGTCATCCTCTTGAGACCGAGATGGACTTTGGGCTCGTCCGAGAAGGAGACGATCGCGAGGCGGTCCTGCTGTCGCAAATTCCGGATCACAAACTCCATGGCGGTCTTGACGAGCTCCAGCTTCTGGCCGCGCATGCTGCCGCTCACGTCCAGCACTGTGACCAGATCGACCGGGGCGCGAGCATCATCGGAGCTATCGCTTTTGGGAGCTTTGAGATGGACGAGCGCTGTATAGCATCGCTCTTCTTCTTCTTCTTCTTCTCCCCTGGCCTTGATCTTGTCGACCTCGCCGATGATCTTGAGCTCCGGCTGCTCGCCAATCACTAGCCAGCCTAGCTCCTCGCTAAGATGGACGATCTCGTCTTCCTGGAGCGTGCTGCTTACCTCGGAATTCTCAAACCCTGCCGCCATGTTCTCTATCTATGACCTAATCGAAGAGAATCATATACTTGCATACTTTTCTTGGTATATTCGTTAATTTGTAGGTCATCTTTATTCTTGATGATCTATGATCTATAGAACTATTTAAGTTCCCAGCAACCATCTTGTGGAATTCTGGAAGGTCATGCCGGTTAAGTCAAGTCACTGACCCATCTCTTGTCATTGATCAAGAAAAAAACGAGCATAACGACGTGGAAAATCTCGTGCGAGCAAGCAAGACTAACATTAAGAAGAAATGTATTTGCCGTATCCAAAGGGAGATCCCCATGCCTACGCTCTGCTTTATAAGAGGATGGTCTCCCACAGTAAGTTTTCGTGCTCCTATACTTTTTAGTTGTGCAATCCGCGTTCTAGTTTGATCGCTATGGGGGGAGTTCTTCGTGCAACTCTAATGGTTCTTGTGATCTATGGCACTGGATTTCTCCACGCAGGTCTTGCAAGCACGGAGAGTGATCTTGTCGACGCACACAACTCCGCGAGATCTGCTGTTAATGTTCCTCCGCTGGTTTGGAACGAGCAAGTTGCCTCGTATGCGCAAAACTGGGCC